ATGAATTAAAGAAGGGAGGGGGTTGGGGCACCCTACCCCAACTTTGGACCTCAATTTAAAAAGTTCCGTAACTTTACCCACCTGGGTCTTTGGGTCCAGGCTACCTTAGGCAATTGCCTATCATTTGTACCTAGTGTGGACAAAAGCTTTGCCGTAGGGACTTTTTTATGAATTAAAATTTGGTGGTGGTAAGGTCACCCTACCCCAACTTTGGACCTCAATACCTCAATTTAAAAAGTTCCGTAACTTTACCCACCTGGGTCTTTGGGTCTAGGCAACCTTAGGCAATTGCCTATCATTTGCACCTAGTGTGGACAAAAGCTTTGCCGGAGGGACTTTTTTATGAATTAAAGAAGGGAGGGGGTTGGGTCACCCTGTCCCAACTTTGGACCTCAATTAAAAAAGTTCCGTAACTTTACCCACCTGGGTCTTTAGGTCCAGGCAACCTTAGGCAATTGCCTATTATTTGTACCTAGTGTGGACAAAAGCTTTGCCGTAGGGATGTTTTAATGAATTAAAGAAGGGAGGGGGTTGGGTCACCATATCCCAACTTTGGACCTCAATTATAAAAGTTCCGTAACTTTACCCACCTGGGTCTTTGGGTCCAGGCAACCTTAGGCAATTGCCTATCATTTGTACCTAGTGTGGACAAAAGCTTTGCCGTAGGGACTTTTTTATGAATTAAAATTTGGTGGTGGTAAGGTCACCCTACCCCAACTTTGGACCTCAATTTAAAAAGTTCCGTAACTTTACCCACCTGGGTCTTTGGGTCCAGGCAACCTTAGGCAATTGCCTATCATTTGTACCTAGTGTGGACAAAAGCTTTGCCGTAGGGACTTTTTTATGAATTAAAATTTGGTGGTGGTAGGTCACCCTACCCCAACTTCGGACCTCAATTAAAAAAGTTCCGTAACTTTACCCACCTGGGTCTTTGGGTCCAGGCAACCTTAGGCAATTGCCTATCATTTGTACCTAGTGTGGACAAAAGCTTTGCCGTAGGGACTTTTTTATGAATTAAAATTTGGTGGTGGTAGGGTCACCCTACCCCAACTTTGGACCTCAATTTAAAAAGTTCCGTAACTTTACCCACCTGGGTCTTTGGGTCCAGGCAACCTTAGGCAATTGCCTATCATTTGTACCTAGTGTGGACAAAAGCTTTGCCGTAGGGACTTTTTTATGAATTAAAATTTGGTGGTGGTAGGGTCACCCTACCCCAACTTTGGACCTCAATACCTCAATTTAAAAAGTTCCGTAACTTTACCCACCTGGGTCTTTGGGTCCAGGCAACCTTAGGCAATTGCCTATCATTTGTACCTAGTGTGGACAAAAGCTTTGCCGTAGGGACTTTTTTATGAATTAAAATTTGGTGGTGGTATTGTCACCCTACCCCAACTTTGGACCTCAATTTAAAAAGTTCCGTAACTTTACCCACCTGGGTCTTTGGGCCCAGGCAACCTTAGGCAATTGCCTATCATTTGTACCTAGTGTGGACAAAAGCTTTACCGTAGGGACTTTTTTATGAATTAAAATTTGGTGGTGGTAAGGTCACTCTACCCCAACTTTGGACCTCAATACCTCAATTTAAAAAGTTCCGTAACTTTACCCACCTGGGTCTTTGGGTCCAGGCAACCTTAGGCAATTGCCTATCATTTGTACCTAGTGTGGACAAAAGCTTTGCCGTAGGGACTTTTTTATGAATTAAAATTTGGTGGTGGTAGGGTCACCCTACCCCAACTTTGGACCTCAATTTAAAAAGTTCCGTAACTTTACCCACCTGGGTCTTTGGGTCCAGGCAACCTTAGGCAATTGCCTATCATTTGTACCTAGTGTGGACAAAAGCTTTGCCGTAGGGACTTTTTTATGAATTAAAATTTGGTGGTGGTAAGGTCACCCTACCCCAACTTTGGACCGCAATACCTCAATTTAAAAAGTTCCGTAACTTTACCCACCTGGGTCTTTGGGTCCAGGCAACCTTAGGCAATTGCCTATCATTTGCACCTAGTGTGGACAAAAGCTTTGCCGGAGGGACTTTTTTATGAATTAAAGAAGGGAGGGGGTTGGGTCACTCTACCCCAACTTTGGACCTCAATTAAAAAAGTTCCGTAACTTTACCCACCTGGGTCTTTAGGTCCAGGCAACCTTAGGCAATTGCCTATCATTTGTACCTAGTGTGGACAAAAGCTTTGCCGTAGGGTATTTTTTATGAATTAAAGAAGGGAGGGGGTTGGGTCACCATATCCCAACTTTGGACCTCAATAATAAAAGTCCGTAACTTTACCCACCTAGGTCTTTGGGTCCAGGCAACCTTTGGCAATTGCCTATCATTTGTACCTAGTGTGGACAAAAGCTTTGCCGTAGTGACTTTTTTATGAATTAAAATTTTGGACCTCAATTAAACAAGTTCCATAAATTAACTCACCTGGGTCTTGGGGTCCAGGCAACCTTAGTCAATTGTTTATCATTTGTACCTAGTGTGGACAAAAGTTTTGATGTAGGGACTTTTTTATGAATTAAAATTGGATGGTGGTAGGGTCACCCTACCCCAACTTTGGACCTCAATTTAAAAAGTTCCGTAACTTTACCCACCTGGCTCTTTGGGTCCAGGCAACCTTAGGCAATTGCCTATCATTTGTACCTAGTGTGGACAAAAGCTTTGCCGTAGTGACTTTTTTATGAATTAAAATTTTGGACCTCAATTAAACAAGTTCCATAAATTAACTCACCTGGGTCTTTGGGTCCAGGCAACCTTAGTCAATTGTTTATCATTTGTACCTAGTGTGGACAAAAGTTTTGATGTAGGGACTTTTTTATGAATTAAAATTGGATGGTGGTAGGGTCACCCTACCCCAACTTTGGACCTCAATTTAAAAAGTTCCGTAACTTTACCCACCTGGCTCTTTGGGTCCAGGCAACCTTAGGCAATTGCCTATCATTTGTACCTAGTGTAAACAAAAGCTTTGCCGTAGGGACTTTTTTATGAATTAAAATTGGATGGTGGTAGGGTCACCCTACCCCAACTTTGGACCAAAATCTTTATGTCAATTCTTTTTTCGTTCTATTTGGGTGCCTCTCTTACACTTATCACTCTTCCTTTCGAAATATAGTAAAAACATTACCAGAGTGACGACATACTTTTGAATAATTAGAAAAATGAACTAGTTCTTTGACAAAAGAAGAAAACTGCGTATAATGCTTTTATTTCTAAAGAAAATCTAACAAAAAATACTGGACGTTCCAAAATCAGATGATTTATTTTTCTTTTCTTTTCAAACGCATATGTAAAGTAGAAGATTTATTTGTATCGTTACATGTACACTAGTTTAGTTTCATTATTATAAAAACAACAAACCCATCTCTAATCAGACAGCACTAAAAAGAGAAAGGATTACCTAATAGGAATTTTAGATGTCCGGTTAAAAAACAGTTGTATTAGATACACGAATAACTAATTAACTTTGTCTGTGTTAAAATGGAATTGCATTTCGTTCTCCTACTGGAAATTAGTTTCATTAGAATTAAAAGGACGTTTTGTGTTATTGCAAGTCTTCGGTTTTTAGGCATGATCATGTTGGCGCGTTTTCTTATTGTTCGCTGGCTTATTGTTCGCTAGCTTGATGCATCTTATTGTTCGCTGGCTTAGTGTTCGCTAGCTTGAGTCTGGTTTTAAATTTGTTGTTAACCTTTATCTAACAAAATTGTGTAAGTGTTATGTCATTTCTTTTACCTTGGAAATCATTTCGATACAGAACAAATAAACAAATAATGAAGCAGGCAATTGTAATTCCAACTATTTGTTTCTTCATCCGGTCAACACAACCAGCGGACATTTTATTGAAAAGAAATAATTTTATAACCTTGAAAGTTGAAGTTAAATAGTTGAAGAACATATCCAATTATAAAATATACAAATATAGTTCCCTTTAATTAAAGTGTATTTTTATTTTTATTTTTTTCTTTGCCTTTCTCATTCATTTCTTAGTTTTTTTGGGGGTGGAAATGAAAGAAGAGAGGTGAAATAAATTTTGGATGTTGTATTTTAACTGATTTTGATAAAGAGTAGACTGGTTCCCGATCGCAATATTCAGTATGTTACACATATACCAATATTAGCTAATACCTGGAACGTAGTACCGGGAACCAGGATAGATAAAGAGTGATTAGGCTAAGTGCAAAAAGGTAATATTTACAGTTTTCGGAACATCTCTTGACTTGTCCATAGGGGTATCGATATGTATTGGCTAAATTTGTAAGATATTGGGGGAGCAATATTTATGAATTTTGGATATGTTTTTTGACTAGTACTATACATTACACACACAAAAGATTAGACAAAAAGAATCGGTGCAATTTTTTTAATGAGACAAAAAGTTATAAAGAACTAATAGAGGAATTGTGGCCGAGGCTGATACCCAAAATCTTGAAAATAAAGAAAGGACCAACTTTATTGACAGAAAGTCACTTCAAATGATAAATAGTAATGGTTCATTGTAATTTTATTCAATATAAATCTTTAAACCTGTTATAATATGTAGTTTTAGGCATTTTTGGCCATTTTGATGTACTGAAAGCCCTTTGACCCCAGTTTCAGCCCTTTCTGTCAATAATGTTGGACCCTTTTTATATTTTAGAATATATTACTACTCTATTGTCTTACAAACCATCACATCTTCAAAATGGATGCCTTTTATCACAAATATAATCAAAAATTAATAGATAGCTCTGCACCTGGCTATAATGGGCAGTGTCACATTTGGACAGGTTTATGTACACCTGATGGCAAATATGGAGTTATTAATTGTAAATTTCCAGATGCCAGAGGGTGGAGACAAATGCATGTGCACAGACTTGCCTACATGGTGCATCATTTTAGACATTAGAATATTTTAATTGATAAAACTGATGATGTTTTGCACCTGTGCCACAATTGGAAATGCATTACTGTTGAACATCTGTAGTTGGAACCTCATGGTTTCAACAACAGCCGATAGGCATGCGTTTCAACCGGTTCCTGCTTGGGCCACCCAGATCCCCTCCCTCCCTGCAGGGTGGAGTTGAAAATGGATAACAATAATTTGGGTAAAATAATTATTCGGGTACTCTTTTATTTTTATTTTACTTATATTTTTTTTCTGGGGCAGGCTAAAATATATTTTTATCAGAATGAATGTGTGCTAGAGTGTTTTACATTAATATTTATTTTCTTTCAGATTGATTAATATTAATAAGTAGTTTTATTATATAAAATTAAAATTGAGAATGGAAATGGGGAATGTGTCAAAGAGACAACAACCCAACCATAGAGCAGACAACAGCCGAAGGCCACCAATAGGTCTTCAATGCAGGGAGAAACTCCTGCACCTGGAGGCGTCCTTCAGCTGGCCCCTAAACAAATATGTATACTAGTTCAGTGATAATGGACGTCATACTAAACTCCAAATTATACACAAGAAACTAAAATTAAAAATGATACAAGACTAACAAAGGCCAGAGGCTCCTGACTTGGGACAGGCGCAAAAATGTGGCGGGGTTAAACATTTTTTTTGAGATCTCAACCCTCCCCTATACCTCTAGCCAATGTAGAAAAAACAAACGTACAACAGTACGCACAGTAAAACTCAGTTTAAGAGAAGTCCGAGTTATTATATGTATTTTAAGAGTTCATTCTTCTATTCTCTTATGCAATCTTATTTTCTTGGTATGTTATATCTTCTTAGTACTGTAGTTCTACTCTATTTTTCTGGTTCATTAGTCAGTCAGTCATGTGTCATATTATCTTGTCTTCTATTGGTCATAGTCACTGAGTTAAAAGTTTTAAATACCACACTTTTTGAATAACTTGAGAGAAAGCTATACAATACAGCAGCCATATTTAAATAAGTTATATACATTATATTCTGGATACTAATTACATATTAATCAGGTCAGTTACTAATATTTCTAAGTCTTTAATATTTACACAGTTTTCCTTTAGTTTGAATCTGAGAGAAAATGTATTTTTGAATAAGTCAGAATGATTGTGCATGAATGATAGATATTTTATTATAAAGAAGTATTGTCATGAATTCAGAGAATTAATATATCATAGATATATTAATGATACATGTATTGGTACAGTTATATTATTATTATAAAAGGTCTAAAGCAATGTCTATTGAACATTATACTTATTGTTTATAAATGCTATGCAGATATAATTTAGTTCATTATACTTATGTAGGTTATATTTGTATTTTTAACAGGACCAGAATATCTTGATATTATTATGATCTGGTGATGCTTCCAAATAGGAGATAGACCTTTGTACCATATACATGGTAAGATCAGTGTTTTCAATGTATTTTTAGTTTACTGTATTGTCCGTGTTTACAGTGGCATATAGCAAGCTTTTGTGTGCTGTGCACGCAGAAGCCACTTGCAGGGGTGGTCTGGGGCCGCCTAAGGCCCCCAGCAGGTCAAGGACAGAGCCCTTGTAGGGGGACCAGGGGCCAAAGCCCCCCAGAAGCTATGAGATTTAGCAAATACACAACTGTTTCATTACAGAAACTCAGCCAAGTTGTGCTACCTCAATTTAAAAAAAAAATTGTGTAAGTTGGTCTTGTTTCAAATCCCTCGATAATCGAATATGAGTATTTAGTTTTATTCACTGCCGACAGTTAATATACAAACAGTAGAATATTACGTATGCTGGTAATTTGCCTTTTGGGTATACCAGAGTAAGTAAGAACAAATTATTTAAATAATATTTTCAAACAATGATGTTTTCGTTTACTTGTATATCATTTTGTTTTTTACGAGCCGGCCTCACAACTTGGTTAATACACATTCAAAATTGAGACAAGCCTCCCAATTTTGAATGTCAATTTCATCTGATAAAAAGCAAATAACAACAATTTATAGTTTAAATTTATGCAAGAAACATTTTTCTGTTTTTTGCATTATCAAATATGTCAATCACTTCTTTCAATTCTATATCAAAATCAGAATGAATGTGCAACAATGCTAGTGAAGATAACCGTTCTTGTCCCATTGTTGATCTCAATTAAGTTTTAAAGCGTTTCAGGACGCTGAAAGATCGTTCAGCTGTTGTGGTTGTAGGAGGCATCGTTAGAAGTATTTTCAGAATACAGTAAACATTTGGATAAAGTTCTTTGTTCGTCATTTCCAATGTTTCACAAAGTTTCAAAACCCGATTTTGTAATAAAAAAAATCTGTTGGTCATTCGATTTTCTCCTCATTTCACAGAAACATATATAAAACAACTGCAATAATACACGGGTTTCGTGCTGATCGTACTCCAACTGGTTGTTAAGGTATCCAGAATTACTGAGAAAGAATTACCTTATGTATATCAAAATATGTGTTGCAATTTACTGACTTAACATGAAGTAGTTCGGTAATTTACTCGGAGAAAAGCTTGACAGACAAGATGAATGCAATATACATTGTATTCCAACTCAACTTAATTTCATATTAATATATTTATATATATTATATGAATTTATTTTATGGTTGTCGCTTGTTACTGTATTTCATATTTGTGTTCGTTAATTATTTTGTATATATATAAATCTGGTCGTAGGTTTTCTCATCTGAGTTGTTTTACACTGGTCATTTTGGGGCCCTTTATAACCTTACTTTGCAGTGTGAACCTAGGCACCGCACTGAAACCTATGATTACTTACATGATCAACGACATAGTGTTGGTCTTAGATAGAGAGTTGTCTCATTGGCAATCATACCACATTTTCTTATTATACCCCACGCAATGAGTTGCGGAGGGTATAATATTTTTGACCCATCCGTCCGTCTGTCTGGCCGTCAGTCCGTCAGTCCTGTTTCTTGTCATCGCAACTCCTCTCAAACCACACAACAGAATTTCACGAAACCTTTTTAGATAATAAGGACATACTATGTAGTTGTGCATATCGACAGGAAATTACGATTCAATTTTTTTCTAGGAGTTACTCCCCTTTGAACTTATTTACTTTAATGTACTACTGCAACAGTTTGTCATCTCAACTCCTCTGAAACCACACAACAAAATTTCATGAAACTTTGTAGATAATAAGGACATACTACGTAGATGTGCATATCGACAGGAAATTACGATTCAATTTTTTTTCCAGGAGTTACGCCCCTTTGAACTTATTTGCCCAATATACTACTGCAACCTTTTGTCATCGCAACTCCTCTCAAACCACACAACAGAATCTCATGAAACCTTTTCAGATAATAAGGACATACTACGTAGATGTGCATATCGACAGGAAATTACGATTCAATTTTTTTTCTAGGAGTTACGTCCCTTTGAACTTATTTGCTTCAATATACATCTGCAACGGTTTGTCATCGCAACTCCTCTGAAATCACACAACAGAATTTCATGAAACTTTGTAGATAATAAGGACATACTAGGTAGATGTGCATATCGACAGGAAATTATGGTTCAATTTTTTTTCTAGGAGTTAGGCCCCTTTGAACTTATTTGCTTCACTATACCTCTGCAACAGTTTGTCATCGCAACTCCTCTGAAACCACACAACAGAATTTCATGAAACTTTGTAGATAATAAGGACAAACTATGTAGATGTGCATATCTTTTTTTAGCACGAAAGCTTGTATTGAAATATATATGTCAGTTTCAGTAAATGGTTTACCATGACTGTCTACTTACCAAGTGTCTTCCTTTTTGAAACTCGTATTGGTATAAATCAGATCGTTTGGTTTTTTTTTTTCAATTTTTTAGAATTGATTAAGTATTACACTTGTCATTTGGCCCTTTATAGCTTGCTAGCCTATGAGGTGTGAGCCTTGGCTGAGAGGTGTATATATACATTTTGATAGTTTAAATTTACCTAGCAGGAAAGGGGAAATCGTCTACATTTTCCCATTTTGTCTGAATTATATTAAGTTTTAAATTGTTGTCTCTTATCATGATTCCTCTGTTAAGATTACCAATATTGGAATCTATATGCGGTAACTCAACCGTATTATTAACCTCAGTTTCGTACGCATCATTTTCACTAGACTGTCTTTTCCTAAAAAAAACCAAAAAAAACCCAGTTTTTTGACACGATGCATATTGAATGTTAGCGGAAGTCAAACTTTGGAGTATTTTATAACAAATTGATATACGTATGTAACTAACAGCCAATTATGGACTAAACAATGTTTTTTTATTATTTATATATTCTTTCTCTCCCTTTTTCATGTTTTTTCATCTTTATTAAAAAAAAAGGAACAACATTTTTTTTTCTCGACATTTTGAGTTGTGCACACAAGTGCATCGTTGCGTCAATGATAGCTACGCCACTGGTTTGTCTATTTAATTTAAGTTCAGTAAATGTATTGTTTGTGTCTTGTGAATAGTAGTTACCTGTATGTCAATAATTACATGCAAACATTATAGTATCAAATAGTTCATTCATAAATCAATGAATGATTAACGTAAGATTATTGGACATAATGTAGCACTTAATCCTGACTTGGTTTACAATTGAGTTTGATTGAATTTATATATTTATAACATATACACTTTAATAGTATTGGTTGTATTCTTATAGAAAAGAGCCAGTTTATCGTATTTTATACATGTACTTTCCGTTATAAGAATTAGAGTTATATCCCTTTGTACACCGTATTGTCTATGTATTTATGTTTTGTTATTTGTGTACTTTCAGGGTTATTTATATATGTCGTATAAATAAACATCTTAAACATCTAGACGAATCATTTTATTCCGTCCAAGAACCCTGTTACAAATGGGAGAAAAAAAGAAAAGAAATTTGAAAGCTAATGTACAACAACTTCAGATTCTTTTTTTAATATTTGTGTGGTCCTGACAAGGACCTTTTATGATTTTGTTTGCTGGTTGATCTGTCATCTCAGTCAGTAGCTGGTCTTGGAAGCTTTGGTTTGCAGCATCTGTCATGGTCCTGAAACTGTAAGGCATGCTGTGGATCTAGTTGACCTTTGCAGTAAGGGAGCTACCATTTGATTTTTATGGGGGGGCTAGGATGAAAAATTTTGTCCTGCCTATTTATTTTTCCCTCTATTCGGTCCTGCCTTTTTATTTTTCACTCTATTCGGTCCTGCCTTTTTTTTTTAGTTTATCCTGACTTTTTTTTTACATAAATTGTCATCCTGCCTTTTTTTTTTGCAAATAATCTCATCCTGCCTTTTTTTTTACTCAAAACTCCTGTCCTGCCTATTTTTTTCAAATTTCATCCTAGCCCCCCCATAAAAATCAAATGGTAGCTCCCTAATAGTCATGCTTTTTGTTCATTTCTCTCCATGTCTTGTGCTCTGCAAGCTTTTCTGCATTCTGCTTTAATCTTCTTGCTTGAACTGTTGGTCTTAGTATGTAATCTTGGTTGTATTTAAAGTCAGTGTCCATTTTCTTGAGGTGAAGTTTACTTCGTTCTGAAAGGTCTACTCCTAGATTCGTACATTTAAGTTGTGTCGAGGTTCCGGGCATGTTGTTATTTCTATGTACTCATGAAGCAAGTCGTCCTTACATATTTTTGGAGTACATTACATTTTTGGGCAAACTAACACTCAGTGCTCTATGAACTCCTTCATTTTTGTTAGTATTGTCATAAAGTTTCATACTTTCAATAGCTGCTGTAGTTAATTTCATTTTCAGGATTTCTTGAAGTAAAAATTTGTCTGTTTTATCCATTTGCAGGGCAGTGATCTGGTATGTGGACAAGTAAGATGAACTACTCCACCAGTTATGTGCAGCATCACCTTTGCAGACAATGGAATATTCATGACACTGGGTGCAGTCACCACCATAGCAGCGAAGAGTTGCATCGAGCACTTTTGGTAAGTCTTTGATTATTTCATTAATGTTTTTGTCATATTTCTCCATCAGTTTCTTTACTATCATGGAACATCTGCACTTTATATCTTTGCTAAACACCGTCCTCAGTTGTTTATTTTCCTCTTTTGTTTTTCCATGGAACATTCCCGGACTGTATTGAGCTCGCAATGAGGCCCTGAATCGAGACTGTCCCAAATGTACATGATCTGCCAGTCTTTCTACTTTCCACATTGGTTCTGTCATTTTTTCTATTCCCAGTGCAAAAACTTGAGTCGCATTCTGACCAGGCTTCTTTTTACTAACTATTGTGTTGCTGTTGTATCGAGCATCCACAGTTATGTTAATTTCATTTTCTGAAACACCTTGCCTCCTGTTCACTTCTTTTACTAGTTCCAGTTTTTGTGCCATATCTGTTTTGTTCAGCTTGACCATTTCAGCTGCTACTCTGCTGGATGTGCATTGCATACTGCTTCTACATGGTGGTGGTGTGTCCATTCATGCAAGTAGTTGCTGCACTGTTGTATTTCCAATTGGGCAGTCCTGCAAAGCAGATGCAAGGGCTACATTTGGTTGTCCTGGGTTGGATCCTGGTTTGCCATTAGCTATTTCTTTGTACATCTTTATTCTGTCTCCAATAAAACCACAGATTATGCATTTCAGGGTATACTGCCAGCAAGTTCCCCACTTTTTCTGTTCATGATAGTCAACATTAAACTTGGGACAGGATGGTGAGTCCACTTGGTGTTTATTATAAGTAGTGTTGTACAAGCTGAGTGTCAGTTGACTGTCTATCCACCTCATACCAGAATGTAATGCTTTATTTTCTTCTCTTTCCAGGTCAGCATTAGCTTGTGGTCGAAGAGTACAGATGTGACCAGTCGCCTCTTTGCAGTCAGGAGATTGTAAAGTTTGCCGCACATAGGAAGTACTTGCACTAGCTGAATCAGGCATCTGTATCGACGTCAGGCCTCCACTTATAACATTTGTGCCAGCTTAGAACCAACTAGGATTTCTTGGAGAGTTGTCTTTCTTTGACCTTTTCTTGCCTTTGGAATATGGGGGTAATACCATTAGTGAACATTTTGAAAAGTTAAACTGTATCAGTTATACTGCAACTTGGACTAATGGAATAAACTTTGGACATCCTTATATTTATAATCAAGTGGTGTACAATATTTGCTTTGATGTACATTTTTTCCTTTGATGCAATCTGTGGTGTGGTGTTCCAGAGACCACATTCAGAGGCAACTCTGAATAAACAGTGTTTTCTTAGCAGTATCCAGTTGAGCCAATTATTCTATTATCAGGGGTCCAGATTAAGATTGTTTGATCAAAATCTATGAAAATATGTTACTTTATAATATTTGAGTAATCAATTTAACAAAAAGGCATATGGAATTTTTTTATTAATTTTTTAAATAACTTTTGTTGTCAAAATGTGATATATCTTTTAAATAATTTTTTTCTTTCAGAAATCTTTTATAACATTAAAATTTCTTTCATGAACAAAAAAAAACACTAAAAAGTTTATTTCAGCGTGATATTTCAAGGAATAAAGAAATTACACTAGTTGGAAATTTTCATTACATGTAAGGGCTATTCCATTAAAAAGGAGGTACTAGGGTCGGAAGGCAATTTTTAAGTACCCCCACGACCAAGAGGAATGTACCATTTATCTTAACACCAACCAACAGGAAGTCGTTTCATAATAATACAAGAACCAACTGGAATATATCTAACTTATTTTATTCTAATTTACCACAACCAAAGGAATTGTTATTTAAACATTATAGTTGCTGGACAATTTAGAGGGGGTGGACAGGGTCAAGGAGCTACAATGTTTGGTTATTACTATGATATAAAGGGCTATTTGTATCTCTTTTTTTTATATTGTTCAATTCATACCAGAGTATACAATTAAAGTAATAGTTCAAATTCAAAGCTGTTTAAATGTATCATATCTAGTTGCACTATTATGTTCCTTATGAGGTGCTGACCAAGTGTTGTTACTTTGCAGTCGGTCCATCATCCAAGATTGCCGCCAGCTGGGGACTAAGTTTAACATAGGACCCTATGGCAAATACATACAAATGTCTTCTTTTAGAGAACCACTGAATGGAATGAAACAAAACATGGCATGAATGTTCCTTATGAGGTGCTGACCAAGTATTGTTACTTTGCAGTCGGTCCATCATCCAAGATGGCCGCCAGCGGGGGACTTAGTTTAACATAGGACCCTATGGGAAATACATACAAATGTCTTCTTTTAGAGAACCACTGAATGGAATGAAACAAAACATGGCATGAATGTTCCTTATGAGGTGCTGACCAAGTGTTGTTACTTTGTAGCAGATCCATCATCCAAGATGGCCGCCAGCGGGGGACTTAGTTTAACATAGGACCCTAAGGGAAATGCATACAAATGTCTTCTTTTAGAGAACCAGTGAATGGAATTAAACCAAACATGGCACGAATGTTCCTTATGAAGTGCTGACCAAGTGTTGTTACTTTGCAGTCGGTCCATCATCCAAGATGGCCGCCAGCTGGGGACTTAGTTTAACATAGGACCCTATGGCAAATACATACAAATGTCTTCTTTTAGAGAACCACTGAATGGAAAGAAACCAAACATGTCATGAATGTTCCTTATGAGGTGCTGACCAAGTGTTGTTACTTTGCAGTCGGTCCATCATCCAAGATGGCCGCCAGCGGGGGACTTAGTTTAACATAGGACCCTATGGGAAATACATACAAATGTCTTCTTTTAGAGAACCACTGAATGGAATGAAACAAAACATGGCATGAATGTTCCTTATGAGGTGCTGACCAAGTGTTGTTACTTTGCAGTCGGTCCATCATCCAAGATGGCCGACAGCGGGGGACTTAGTTTAACATAGGACCCTATGGGAAATACATACAAATGTCTTCTTTTAGAGAACCACTGAATGGAATGAAATAAAATATGGCATGAATGTTCCTTATGAGGTGCTGACCAAGTGTTGTTACTTTGCAGCCGATCCATCATCCAAGATGGCCGCCAGCTGGGGACTTAGTTTAACATAGGACCCTATGGCAAATACATACAAATGTCTTCTTTTAGAGAACCAGTGAATGGAAAGAAACCAAACATGGCATGAATGTTCCTTATGAGGTGCTGACTAAATGTTGTTACTTTGCAGTTGGTCCATCATCTAAGATGGCCGCCAGCGGGGGGACTTAGTTTAACATAGGACCCTATGGAAAATACATACAAATGTCTTCTTTTAGAGAACCAGTGAATGGAATGAAACCAAACATGGCATGAATGTTCCTTATGAGGTGCTGACCAAGTGTTGTTACTTTGCAGCCGATCCGTCATCCAAGATGGCCGCCAGTGGGTGACTTAGTTTAACATAGGACCCTATGGCAAATACATACAAATGTCTTCTTTTAGAGAACCACTAAATGGAAAGAAACCAAACATTGCATGAATGTTCCTTATGAGGTGCTGACCAAATGTTGTTGCTTTGCAGTTGGTCCATCATCCAAGATGGCCGCCAGCGGGGGGACTTAGTTTAACATAGGACCCTATGGGAAATACATACAAATGTCTTCTTTTAGAGAACCACTGAATGGAATGAAACAAAACATGGCATGAATGTTCCTTATGAGGTGCTGACCAAGTGTTGTTACTTTGCAGTCAATCCATGATCCAAGATGGCCGACAGCAGGGGACTTAGTTTAACATAGGACCCTATGGGAAATACATACAAATGTCTTCTTTTAGAGAACCAGTAAATTGAATGAAACCAAACATGGCATGAGTGTTCCTTATGAGGTGCTGACCAAGTGCTGCTACTTTGTTGCCGATTTACTGTTCAGGATATTTTATTAAATAATTGGACCAATATTAAACCAAATTTGGCCTCAATCATTAGTTGGGTATCTGTTATGATTTTTATCTATCTTTACATGATTTCTAAAACCAAAGTAGAGTCAGGTGAGCGACACAGGCTCTGGAGAGCCTCTAGTTTCTTCGCCTTTCTCATTCATATCTTAGTTTATATGGGTCGGAAATGAAAGAAGAGAGGTGAAATAAATTTTTGGATGTTGTATTTTAACTGATTTTGATATGGAAAGAGTGATTAGACTAAGTGCAAAAAGGTAATATTTACAGTTTTTGGAACATCTCTTGACTTGTCCATAGGGGTATGGATGTGTATTGGCTAAATTTGTAAGATATTGGGGAACAATCTTTCTGAATTTTGGATATGTTTTTGGACTAGTACTATACATTACACACACAAAAGATTAGACAAAAAGAATTTGTTTAATGAGACAAAACGTTATAAAGAACTAATAGAGGAATTAATTGTGGTCTGAAATATTTTTTGTATGAAAGCTGGCTTCATGTTAATATCGTATAACGCATGTTTCAAATGAAAATTACACTTAATAAATTTGGTGTGTCCAAAAGCACCTTTATCGATTTACCTACTCCGAGAATGCTCACACTTCAAAATTGGAAATTCAAGGGTATAGATACTTGAACAGTTGAGGAGCGAGCTATATGACCAAGGCAATATTTGTCCTTATCCAATATACCCATATTTTCCAGTGGCAGTAAAAATTTCCCCGACCTTCATGCCAGATGGCCTCTATTACAGGACCTACTGATTGTATTCATTGTTTATTTGTTCTCGTCCTTAACATGCCTGAAATATTTGCCACTGGACGTTAAGCAACCAACGATCAATCATTTGATGATTAAGGTCTTTTTTCTCTATTTGCAAATTATATTAATTTTTTAATTTACTTAAGAATGTCACATGTAATATTTCTTAGTAAAGTTAAATGTTACTAATTTAATGCACTTCTTTAATCAAATAAAAGAAGGATGTGTCTGAGGATACGAATTCCCCCGCTAAAGCTTTGCAATTTTCCAAGTTAAAAAGGGGCATAACTCTAGAACGGTAAATGACTCACAACCCAAATTCAAACTCTGTTTCCGTGTTGTAGTACTTAGCATTATGTAAGAGTTTCATAAAATTTGGATGAGACAAACTGACGTTAGAGCGCGGAAACGAATAAATTTGCAATTATTCAAGTTATAAAGGACATAACTTTAGAACGCTTGCCCAAATTCGAACTCTGTGACTGCTAGCTTTGGTTCTTAGCATTGTGTATATGTTTCACAAAATTTGCTTGAGGCAAACTTAAGTTAGAGTGTGGAAACGAAAATGGGATGGATGGATGGAAAGACCGACGGGCGGTCAAGGGTAACACTTAATGCCCCCTGTTTCCTAAGGCCGGGAGCATAAACAAAATTAATTTTAATTTACTAACAAGAGGCTGTCAGAATGACAGCAAACCGGATTTTTCCTGCATTAAAATGATATTTGCGAATCATGAAAATCTAACTTTATTTCATTTAGTCACAGGAAACAACATATCTTAACTTGAAAAAATTCGTCAAAACGTTTTCAAGTTATTGCACTGAGACTGTTTGGCAGCCGCCCGCCCGGCTGTCCGACTGCCCGCCCGCCCGCCGTACATCACCAAATAAATAACCGATACTTTCCTTTGGAAATCCGGGAAAAAAATTCATCTTTGTTACAGTATCCGTTTTCTCCTGAATATTGAAAGATGAAAACAAATCTACTGGGTATCAAATTCACTATCCACCCTTATACCAATTAGACAATAAATATGAAATTTAAACTGACTGTATCTTATTTAAATACTAAACTGATGTTTATATACAACTTTGGATATTTGCATAGAAATCAATGCATGTCAACATACTATTAAATATTTCAAACAAAAAATTTTAGAATGTTGGCATAGACTGAATCTATCGTTTGTTTATACCATGTATGATCTATAAAAAGACTCCTAAAGTACATAAAATACTAAAAGAAATTAAATTTAATATATCATTACAATGACACAATAACTTATGCATTATCTGCTGCTTTTTAATGCAAACTAATAAAATATTATGATATTATGAAATTTGAAAAAAAAAGTTTAATAAAAACTAAACTCTGAAATAAATGTAAACAAAGGTTATGTTGATGAATTTTTGTTAGCCGTGGAAATACTTACTTTGTGAATGTGCGGGTAAAGTGCAGTCTACAGGGTATTCAGTCAATATTTTCTGAAAATAGCCAAAGATATAAAAATTCTTTTGACCTAAATGAACAATGTATTTTAGATGGAAAACGGATTTAATCTAATTTTCTAACAAAAGTATATTCAGGATTTTAAGGTTTGCTTATTGTTCAAAATAGATATAAGGAGATGTGGCATGAGTGCCAATGAGACAACTCTCCATCCCATTCACAATTTGTAAAAGTAAATCATTATAGGTCAAATGTCGGCCTTGGTTCACACCGAACAGCAAGCTATAAAGGGCCCCAAAAAAGACTAGTGTAAAACCATTCAAACAGGAAAACCAACGGTCTAATCTATATATAAAAAACGTTTGTTAATTATTTTTCTTGTATTCTCTTTTATCGCATGTATATTAGCATCGACTGAATAACAGTTTTATCTTTATTAGAAATTGTGTTACTTTTTGAAATGCCTATGCATACACAATACATGCCCATACTTAGAAATATTTCTAAATGACTACATCTCAGTAATATAATAATTTTAAAAGATCGACGGTCAGCATTACCGAATTATTTCATACGAACTGAAGATGAAGAAATGTGAATTATAATATTGTTGATAACGAGGACTTCGAAGAGAGCCCCCTTACTTTTAAAAAGTTGGTAGCCCGAGCAGTTGTATAAAGATAAATTTTTATTGGTTTAAATATTTGTAAAAAAAAAACGTGAACCTCAAACACTAAGAAGAATCGAAATGTTTCATTCCAGGTGTCTCGTTAGGTTCGCGTTACATATTCCAATAAATTTCATTAGTCGGATTATTTGTAAAACTTTCAATCCAGG